TGTGTGTGTGTGTGTACGTGTGTGCGTGTACCTGGATGATGTGAGCGAAGCGAGGGTCTTTGCGTTTCTTGTTCTTGATGAGCTCCACCGCCTGAGACTGCTGACTGCACAGCTGCGACGCCTGCTCCTGAAACTCGTCTCCAGCTGCACCTTCAAACTAGAGACCCAGCCCCACCGTTAACACACTAACGTTTCATTTCACCTCTTGACAGATGAAGACGAAGAAGAAGAAAAGGGAGGCGGACGGAACTGATGGTCTCACCCTGGCCAGCATGACGTCCCCGATGTCCTGAACGACGGGAGTTTCTCTCCGCTTCTTCATCGCCTCGCACAGACTTGCTGCAAAGAAGTGAGACACATTGGATTGAAGAACCTTAATCTCAATAACAAGGAAATATTTCCTCTGTTAAGATCAGTGTAAACCGACACTATGTAACTTTGACTGAGCAACAGCGCCCCCTGCTGCCATATTATGCAAATTCATTCTGCTGGGCTCCGTGTAGATAAAAACAAAGACGGAGGTGAACGCTGGTTTTTAAAGCTGGAGCTGATTGTGACAGTTGAATCTGTGACTCGGTCACTTCTTCTCACGGGAGATCGAACCCACTCACCAGAGTTACAGAGAGCGGACGCTCTATTTACGTTCTTTAACTGTGAGTTCAAAATAACTTTCATCAGAAAAACAGTAAAATCCAGACATTTGCTTCAGAACTGATCAAAAACAACTTCTTCATCCGGCTGGATCGTAATGTGACACCGTGTGTGTCCACGTCTGAAAACATACCAGATACATATTGACACAGTGGAACAGCGGGCTGAGATTACACACAACAGTTATGACCTTTGCTTAGTATTTGTTTCACTTATTATTATTTACCGAGCAACACGCCACCCTGAATACACGTTGACTCCATGAACATCTTACTGTGCAAAGAGAATCACCATCAGAGGAAACAAGAACTTACACAGATGTTTCCATAATTAAATACTAAAATCTGCTTTATCAGTTTATTAAACATTTTAATAAACAGCCTTAAAATGATGCAAACCTCCGTCACAACCACTCGTGTTCTGCAGATATCATTGGTAAACTGTGTTTATGTAACACCCTCACAGATACTTAGACTGACCGTGGAGCTCGTAGACCTGAGGCAGGTTGGGGAAGATGCAGGCCAGCTCATCAGAGTTCAGGACAGACCTCATCTTCTGGAAAAAGACCTGGTCCAGGACCCGCAAGGTCCGCAGGTGGGACGCCTCGGTGGTGAACAGCTCTGGAGGATACGGAGGGTGAGCAGGTGAAGAATGTAATGTTCATCAGTACACACAGTTATCAGACATCTGAGAAGTTCTTTGTATGAAATGTTCATACCATATATCACAGCCTGTCTGTCCACTTCCCTCGGGCTGAGCGTGGCGAGGAGCTGATGAGACACCGTGTCCTGCCAGTTCTGACCGTCACACACCTCCTCTTCCAACGCCGCAGCGTCCGGTAGCAGGGCCAGTGGTGAGTCCACGCTCCTACACAATCAGCACAAGCATGGGGCGGGTGAAAGGATGAACGTATGGAGCGTGGAAGAAAAGGGATGATGATGTTTCTTTTCAACTTCAAGAGTTGTGCATGTGGTCAACCGTCTCTGTTCCCTATCAACAAACGAATCATCAATTAACTGGGACGACATGGAAACTCACCTGCGTCTGGACCGAGGGGTGTATGGGGGAGTAGGGTTCTCCAGAGACCTGAGTTTGAGACAGAGTAGAGAGAGAGAGATGAGGTGAAATCTCACTCAGGTCGTTGTGGTGACTCTGTTTCTGAGGCGGACGCATGTTTAAGCATCATTACGGTTTGTGGCATAAAGCTACAAATGCTTGGAATCGACGATCATCTCTTTGCAACGGTATCTTCTGACATTATAACTCATGGAATCTTTACCGCGCTGAGCTGCTGGACGCAGATGACGAAGCGCTGTGCTGTAGCGGCCTGAGGCCCGGCCCCTCCCGCTCCTCGCCACAGTCCTCCATGTCCACATCGCTACGTGAGCGGGGGACCGACTCCGTTGCAGAGGCAACACCCCGCCGACGCCCTTCTCCCTGAGCCTTCAGAGACTCGCTGCGTGCCAGACGCACTGAGACCGTCGGGCTGCTGAAGAGAACGGAGCATTTTACTGAAACGGTCACTATCCAACACCTTCAATGGGACGCTGAGGCACCCAGGTGCCATGGCAACGAGACACTTCACAGTTACCCGTCCATGCTGTCTTCTCCCAGGCTGCTGGAGGAGAGCCTCGGGGTGTCGGCAGCGTCGCCTCCCTCCTCTCCTGTCGCCTCCGTGTGGTTCTCAAACTGCTGAATGATGTTTCTCACACTGCCAGGACGGACTGCGCACACAGATTTCATTCAGATAAGAGGACACGTGCACTTTCAGCAGACGGACGGTTGTTGTGGAACAAAAAAAAATCTTTGATGAAGAAGAACTCAAGGAAAAAGAAAATAACGCGATGTACCTTCATTGGGTGACAACGGGACATGGAATGCTACGAAGCCAAAAATGAACCAAAAGGAAACAATGAAATCAGAATCACAACACACAATGGAAATCCCATAAATCAATAAGTGAACAAGCAATCACAATAAAAGGGCAAACAAAGGACACAAATTAATCAATGTCAGCACTGTGTGTGTGAGTGTGTTTCTAATGTGGCGTGTCACAACTGAACCGATCAACGTTGACCTTTGAGAGAAAGACACACCAGCATTTTAAAAGCTAATGACAGTGTGTGTGTGCGTGTGTGTGTGTGTGTATTTACTGGACTGGGATGTGGAGCGGGGTTTGCCGATGTACTTCAGGATGGGATTTCTCTTCTTATCCTCTCCATCTTTTTCTTTTTCTTTCTTGGTTCCACTCAGCTGTAGAGAAAAAGAAGTGATTGCTTATGTACAGATCATTTAAAACACTCCCACCCCCTCGTCCTCATTTTAGAATCATCAGTGACGGCTCCACTCCCTCGCTGTGAAGTTTCCCGATATTCTCACGTGGTCACCCCGTGTTACTCGGGGGCTGACAGGAAAAGTTGTGTGTGGAAAGTCTCCGGAGCAGCTGACGTTCTCACGCACAGCGCCTCCGGAAGATTTCAGGGAAGCGTGCGGACCTCAGTTCATGTCTGAAATCAGCTTTCTTGTTTTTGGGACAGCGCAGCGGCCGCTCTTACCTTTTTCGTCTTCAAAAAGGCGAGCCACTTCTCCTTCTCTGTGCTCAGACCAGGAAACACCTTGGAGTCTCTGAGCTTGATGCCAGAGTGACGCAGGTAGAGGAGGACCGCTGATGCCAGAGGAGAACTGTGGGAGAGGAGCAAAGGGGTGGAGACAGAACAAACATGGTGGTAGGATGGAGAAGAGGAGGAGAGAAAAAACAAGGGAATGAGACAAAGAAAAATTTGAGAAACGTAAAAAAATAACTGAGATAAGTGTAAAAAAAAAAAAGAAAACTCAGTCAGATGAGACTTTTTACCTTCTGTCTTCTTCGTGCTTCGATCTGGAGCAGGGACAGAAAAAAAAAAAAAGACATGAACACACTGTTAAATCCCTCCACCAATAACAGGATTGCAAAGAGAAGTTGAGTCCGGTTCGTTGACCGGTGTGAGATAGAGAATGTAGCGCCACAGTCAAGTGACGGGAATCTGTGTGTGTATAAAGTTTAAGGAGTGAATGTCAGGTGGTTTCCGGGGTTTGCTGCTTCGGTTATGACCTTTGTTATCACAGCTTGGCTGAGCTCTGTCTGTCACTCTGTAATAACGGTTTTATTGGGCTTCTTACAACTGGGCCCGTTGCTAGGCAAACCTGGTTTAACAGTGCTGCTGCGTATGTGTTCATATTCTCTGCATGATCTGAGCCTCGTGCTGAAGTAAACACATTTATCATGAATTAACAGAGTTCAGACCAAACATTAGCATCGGTCCTGAGAGATCCGATCACAAGAGGTCAGCGTAAATGTGTCTGCTCACACCTGACGTCAAAATACAACCTGAATGTGTGTCAGTGTCCATTAGTGTTGTGTTTACCCTGTCTGAGGTAACAGAGGTGACAATGGGACCAGGTCCCTCTATTACTCCTCGTTAACGTACAGCGACTGAATAAACCATTACTCCAAGTCATTGTAAGGATCTGCACCAAATGTCACCAGTTAATAGATATTAGTCCCATAACATAAAAAATGAAAACTTCCTTGGTGGAAGTCATAAATTCTAAAGGAAAAGGATCTCCTCTCTTCTGACATCATTCCGATAACGGTAAACTGCTCCACCAGGAAATGAACCCTCGCCCTCTGCATGAATTGCACTTCTTGTAATTCTACGGTTGAACATGACGCAGCAGTGATATATCTGAGCAAGTCACAGACTCACAGTATCTCCCAGAGGGCGGAGACCTGTCTGTCCACCACTTGTCTCTCTTTGGCTGGGTCTCCGTCCAGGTGCTGCAGGTCTCCTTCTCCAAACAGAGAGCCGAGACCCATCATCTGCTTGTTCCTGTGAGACGCAGAAAAACACGTTAACATGAGCCCCTGAATATGGAAGATGAACCTTTATACTCGAGATGGTCGACAGCTCTCTGAGGGAATGAGTCCCAGAGTAAATGAGACGTACCTGTAGTCCTGTATCTGGTCCTGAATGTCAGGCAGCACCAGCTGCTGCAGCTCGGACAGAGGTCCTCTGATGTCCTCCTGAGCATGTAACCGACTCTCTGATAGGATGACGGACAGAGAGATCGACTCAGTGGACTAAAAATCGATTCTAAAATTTAAAGTCCTCACATGCAAAGTTACAGAAAAGAAAGTTCTTGCATGTAATTTAAAACATAAAGCACAAGAAACAACAGGTCTACGTTAGTTTCGTACCGATATCTGAGAGATACTCCTCCCGTACTTTGATTTTCAGGGGCTGTAAGAGAGAAAAATATTTCAGACAGTGATTATCTGTTACTGCATGATGTATAGTAACATCGGTAACTTGCTGTGTCTGTGTTAAATCACTTTTCAACCAAGGATTAGGAGAACGCCTATTCTTTATGTTCTCTGATGACAAACTTGTAAAGGATCGATGTACATTGAAATTTGAAGTCAAGACTGGAACGTAAGAGACAGAAGAACGTGAAGTCAAAGTTATTTTTTGTTTTGTGTACGTACAGCGTCCGGGTCCAGGAAATGGGAGCAGATCTGAGGTGCAAGTGCGCGGGCGTCTTTAGGACTGGAGCCCAGGTAGGCCTCCACCGACAGGTAAAACAGCTGTTAGACACACAACCAAGATAAACACGAGACGATGGTTCTGGTTAGTGAAGGCTGCATCAGTATAGATGTGCAGGTCAGATCTTTGAGGAGCTGGTTTTATTTCAGAGGAGCGCAGGCCTCGTTCTAAACCTGCCTCAAGTTTTCTTGGCCTCTGATGATGCTGGTTGCAGTTTTCTTTCTTAAACTGTAAAAGTGAGCTTCACTACTTGAGCTGTGGCCAAGTAAAGACCGACTCAGTCCACAGAACCATGAAGCTGCACCACTGCTGCTGCTCTTCACCCGTTTATTCAGAGTTCAATAAAGCTCGACTCAGTACGCCGAGATATTCACGTCACAGACAGACGGACAGAGATACAAGTGCTGTTATTAACAGAATGAAAAACTAAATCACTGGGAAACAAAGGACCAACTTTAAAACAGAAATAGAACCTGGACTGACCAGTGGGTTTGGGTCCAGAAGCTGCGTGAAGACGTATCTCATGAACACGGTCATGTGAGCTGGTCGTAATTTCAACAGTTCAATGTCCTGGAACGGACCGTCCATCTGAGACAACGAAAATAATTTTAATAACAGATTTTAGAAAAGCAACAGAGCTGGTGTTTTGATTAGAGTTTGCTGAATGTGCAGCAAATGTTCTTATCACCTCATTAAATGCATAGCCGTCATCTTCTTCATCCTCTTCCTCAGGGCCGATGATCTGGGCCTTTCCACCCTTTAAACACAGACACACACACACACACACACA